GTTAAATTAATTGGTCACAGATTCTTTCCTCAGATATAAAGCATTATATGAATAGTTGTGTCAATTGTAATAGGAAATTTATAAAGTAACAAATCAAGTACTAGTTTTTCACCAGATCACTTATTTACTCGTATTTGAGTAATTTTCTATGATCACAGCTTTTACTTCTACTGAAGTGAATGTTTAATACAGTAGCAGTATTTTTACTGAAGTCGGTGTGGTTTTTATGCTTTCCACCGCTGTGGTTATTTACATAGAACATATATTAATTGTTTCTTCTTTTTTTCTGTTGACTCGCTGTGCTTCAAGTCCATGCATGAGGTGCATCCTTTATGGTTACAGTGAATAAGTAGGATTAATGGCACTGTTCTTACAGTTTTTAGAATAATTTTAGCTTAACTATCAATGTGTGTATAACACATGTGATATTAGTACTGTGTCTGTTCTTTTCTCTTAACCTGTTTGCTTTAAATGTATTGTTACTTGCTATTGTTTCAGTACTTTTAGTAGTATTATTTAAATTATCCATGACAGTAAAGTTTATACTGTAAATCAGCAACTTAGAGGTACTTTGGTTGTGTCATCTTGGGGCATAAAAAAATATATATAGCAATTGTATTGTACATGCTATTGTATTATATTGTATATTGGCCAAGGTTTAAAATAAAAATAGCAATTCATACGCACATACTGTTATTACTGTCAGAGTTCAGTATGAAAATACCCAAACATGCAGATCTACTCATATTGTCTTTTACTTCAGTTTAAGAACCTTCAGATTAAGTTCTGCACATATATAGTTTTATGCTAAGCATCACACAGAAAAGGTATCGACTTTCTAATGAAGTAAAAACAACTATGATTACTAGTCGCACGCATGACCATAAATGTTTGTAACGTTGCATATGAGCCGATGTATTCGTATGAAATTGTGTTGCTTTTTCGCTTTCTTTTGCATGATAACTCACTATTGTAGCTCTTCTCCCAGCACCACAGCCGGAACCTCATTATCATAGTGCATGCTCTCTACACAACTGATCTGTTAAAAAAGCTGGCAGACTCCTCACCTTCTGAATAAAGTGAAAAGGACTGGGGAACAACAAATCTGTCATCAGAAGAATAAGTGCAACCATGTGAAGTCAGGAAAAGGAAGATAAATCAAAGATGGGAAAGTAAATGTGACAACGCAATAGGCGCAGCACATAGCCCAATAATTTGGGTAGATTAAAGCAGTTCTCATGGGTGAGTGAGAGGAATTTAAAACAGGAGGATGAGACAGAAACTGGGAGAACCGAACATCATCCTGAGTAGAACAGAGGCTTAAGGGCATCAAGCATTCATGAGAAGCAACAACTTCTGCATACAAGTATTGTATTGCTCCTTAGCAATCTGATTTTGTACAAGACACACAGAAAACCACAAGCTATTTGTGTAATGATCAAGCAAAAGCTTCAATAGTGCCACTGTGGCTGAGGAGACATTTTACCCACAATGCCTCTGAATTTTGCCTCATATTGTTGCATATAAGGAGATTCTTGGTAATTAATTCAAATTCATAGATATCGATAGACTAGTATCACGTATAGAATTTCTTATTTATTATTTATTCAGTTTACAGTAATTGGCTTCAAGCCATTGGAGATGCAATGATGTCTATGTTCATGAGTTATAGGAGACCTGCAATTATATGAAAATGGCAAAATTAGCATGAAAGTTTAGAGATGAAAATCTGGGACTTTACCATTTTAAAGTGTATTAATCATTGTCAGATCATCATAAACTGATTTGTTTAATTCGAGTGATTAAACAAGATTGATCATCTGACACTTGTCGCTGTATGATCACTGAGTGCTCACGTTTAGTTCATCAAAATGTGATGAATGTGCTTCTATTTGCATATTTAGAAATGTTGCAATCAGTGTGTCTTTTCATATCGAAATAATTTCAAATCTTTCTTTCAGAGCAGAATAATGTGGCGTGCATTTTTTCCCTGCAGATGCATAAACTAAATCCCAATCAGAATGACAGTGAAGTTTATTGGCAATTGTCTGAGCACCAATAATTTTCTGTGGTGGAAATGTTAATACATTCTATTATCAGATTTATTATGACATATATAGTAACTTTATGTAAAGGTGTGATTCGATGTGCTCAAAATCTATTAGTTTTTGTTATTATTGTTAAATTCAAACATGATTTATTTTAAACAACAAATTAAATTTCCTTAAGATGTTAAAATGATACAGTGTCTTATTCTCATAACTTTTAAGTATTATCATACATTCTATTAATGCTACAATGTCTTATTCTCATAATTATTCAGTTACTTCAGTTACTAAGTACTTCAGTTACAAAGTCTATGTGAAACCCTACTTACAGTATAAAGTATGCACAAAGTAAAAATCATAGAAAATGTATCAAAAATGCTGGTTGCTGGTTGAATTCAATAGATTAAAATGTTGAGAGGAGGTAAGTAAGAAAACTTTTCTATGCTTGTGACCTTGTCATCTAAAGTAAAATTATGCAACCTGTTTTTTTTTTTTTAAGCATTTCCATTATGAAAAAATAAGTAATTTTAATTGTCAGCTCTAGCAACACAAGCGATTAATAAAAATACAACATTTGGCTAACTCTTAGAGATACTGCTACAAAAACAATCCAGGATTTTTTTAAAGCAACTCCATCTCCAACTGCAAACCTGTATCAGTTTACATGAAACAACTCTTTTTTTTTCAATACAAAAGTCATGAACCTACACCTGGTATACTTCAGCACTTAAAAAAAGATACTGATATTAAAACTGATATTACGACAACAGCTTTTTTTGTGTGTATATTATAATTGTGTATATTGTGTAATATTTTTTAGAATAAAATCTGAAATTCTATTCATAGAGGAGGAATTATTTTACACACAAGACAATGAACATAATCAATAAAATTATCAATCCTGATAAAGTAGAATTCTGGCCCTTTGTACCAGTACATAACTAGAACAGCAATCTTGTTAAACTGTATTGCATCAACAATTTTAGTGATGTTATCACAATGATAGCATATTATGCAAACAATGACCCTGAAGTAATTTTAAATTATAAGAAGTATATAATATTGGAGGCTATTCTGAGTGCTTGTGGGTCAACCCGGGTAGCCTACGGGCATGTCTGATCTATTCAGTCAATTCAGTAATTACCTAAAATATGTACCATGTTTTTCAAAATATAGTACTTTATTCTTTTAATGTAGGAATCTACAACTTAATTTCTCAACACATTTTTAATTATTTTTTTTTTATTATTTTTCCACAGAGACACGAGAATGCAGTCATACATTCCCATCAGACTGATAGCCAATGAGATTGTAACTCCACCTTAGCAACCAGTCTGCGTAATTCAGCACTGTAAACTGAGACTACATGGAGAGCAGAAATGCCAATGCCAAAGCCAAAACAATCTTTGACTGAATTAAAACGATAGGGGTGTCTACCGAGTCTAGAAGACAACAGTCTTCATAAACAGCCTGATGTAGAAAAGATGCATTTAACATACATGTAAAGCAGCTAATTATTAGTACAATATGACACTGAGGCCATGCCTCCTACATTAGGATTGACACTGAGGATTGATATAAGGACTGGCATTGTGGCCCAACCTTTTATTCCAGGACTGAGACTGAGGCCACACCTCCTACATAAGGACTGACACTGAGTTCACACCTCCTAAACTGGGACTGACAGGCACAGATAATGATAGGGGGAAAGGAAAGCAAGTGAAGGCAGACACAAATGAAAATAATTCAATTATAACCACTAACACAACTGATATCCATATGAATAAACATTTTGTAACTGATGTATCATATGTAAATATACTCTTGTTGACCACCTAAATATTAACACCTGTTTGCCTGTTCATTCGTGCAATTAGCCAAGCAACCAATCATGTGGTACCAGTGAAATGTATAAAATCGTCTGGATACAGATCAAGAGCATCAGTTAATATTCCCATCAAACAGCAGAATGGGGAAAAAAAATGTGATCTCAGTGGCAATCACTGTCATGGTTTTTGGTGCCAGATGGGCTAATCTGAGTATTTTAGAAACTGATGACCTCTGGGTCATGCGCAACAATCTCTAGAGTTTACACAGAATGATGCAAAAAACAACAGCAAAACATCCAGTTCTGTGGACAGTTCTTGAGGCAGATAGGCAACAACCATATACTTGTCTGACTGGATAATTTTATGAACGAGCAGGTATACAGGTTCCTATTAAAGTGGCCAATGACTGTATCTATTTTATTTATTCTATAAATCTTCAATTCCACGAACATTATTCTACATATGTATGAGGATGGATGAACAATTTTAGACTGAGCAGACAGACATGCACACACACTCACACAAAGCTCGATAATTGAAAACATTATTTAGAGTTCAATTAATCGTTTCACTGTTTGAATTCATCTTCATTGTTACATCTGAGGCTTGGTAATGAGAGAAAAGCCCTGAACAAACAAAACTGTGAGTTTGTGTCAGCCTTCAGCTTACATCCGAATGTGCATCTTAATTAACAAGGACGATTCTGTGACTTACGTAATGCAAGCACAAATAACCATGCAGTCCTTATTTATGAACACCTTTTAATGGGGCGTCTTTCTAATGTTTGATTTCATTCTACCAGTAAATTATAATGACATTGAAACACTTTTTGAGAATTGCTCATAGACATAGCTAGTATGTCTATAAAAACCCATCCATCCATTTTGCATACCGCTTATTCTACACAGAGTCATGGAGGAGCCTGAAGCCTTTCCCAAGGGACTCAGAGCACAAGGTGGGGGACACCCTGGATGGGCTACCAACCCATCGCAGCGCACAACCGCACACACACTACGGACAATTTAGAAATGCCAATCAGCCTACAATGCATGTCTTTGGACTGGAGGAAACCAGAGTACTTGGAGGAAATCCCCGAAATACAACTTGCAAATCTGTGCACATAGGGCAGAGGTGGGATTTGAACCCCCAAACCTAGAGCTGTAAGGCAGACATGATAACCACTAAGCCACCATGCACCTCATGTCTATAGAAATATAAATAAAAATGCAAAGACAATATTACATCACCATGCATGGCACAATAGCACCAATGGCTTTATTCATACATCAGTTATGTATATGTATGCAATTCCAGAACATGGAGGGCATTGGAGGAGACCGCATCTTAACCAGAGACAATGCATAGCTCAAACATTAAATTTTTTCAAGCCAAAATATTAAAACATCTGGAAATAAAACCTCTCTCTCTCTCTCTTACACACACACACACACACACACACACACACACACACACACACACACACACACGTCTAAGTTACCACATTCCTTTACTCTGACATTAATGACTAGCTTAAGAAATTCCACTTATCATAATGTATATCACACATTCAACAAGAGAATGTTCATTTTGACACTATCATCTACAATCTCAAGCGCATTCCCATTCAAAATAACAATAAATATTTCAACTGGTGTATAAAGGAATGTGTGTAACTTCAGACACCGTTTATCAAGTCACTGGAAAAATACAACTTCGACCATCTGCAGCTCAGAGGTTTTTGCAGGCTGACCAAACTGACGGATCATCGAAGCTGTGCTGTGTTTATTCAGCATCAGTTAGCCAGAGGTTGATGAGGTTCACTGCCACTATTTGGCTTCTTGGAAAAAACTTGTCATATATTCTCTCTTTTTTTATCCTGGGACCTGCAACATAATGAACTTTTCAAACCCATCTGGAGCTACGCCTGATAATTAGGAGTGTATAACTATTTGCATGATTATTTATATGAAGCAGCTCAGATTTTAAGCACTGAAGTGACAATTTTATTATCTTTCCTACTCCTCTTCAGTCATTAAGAATGGATATCTTATTGACCCATTTAAACTGTGGAAATTGTTTTTAATTCTGGAAAACTAGCACAGCTCAGTTTTGAGAAACTGCTGGACAAAGTTAATTGTATGTCAAATGTTAATTGGAGACAAAAAGGAACAATAAAGGTGAGCAAACATGCAGGATCTAGCAGACTGCATTTATTTGGGTATGAAAAGAAAAGAACACTATGTACACAATTTCACATGATAATGCTAAATATGTGCTCGTGTGAATTCAGATAAATGAAATTTGCTTTATTATTTTGGTCATTTGAATTCACCAGTGAAGTTCATGTTACTTTTTGCAAGTTCATGTCAAGTGTCAGCATTTTATAAAAAAAAATTAAATAAAAAGTGTAATTTCTTGGGACACATTGTACAGGCCTTCCTCCTATTAAATCCAGAAATGATTCACACTGTGTATCAAAATAGTACTCCCATTTGTGCTGGAAATAAATAAATAAATAAATAAATAAATAAATAAATAAATAAATAAAATATCTTAACCCTTTCTTGTAGTACACTGGCATTCAATCCCAACAGCGGAAGTCGACTTATTATACATTTTCAATTAGTATAAACAGTTTAATAATTTAATAGCCGCAAGTGTGTCATAAGATTTCTCAGGACACTGTTGGGTTTCTCTCTGTAGAATATCAAGAGTTTGTGTTTAGCTGCTGGTGAACAGGGTAGTAGGAAAGAGGAGGGCTGTGAGCCCCTTGCTGGGCAATTCACACCTATCTACAATAACATTGGTAAAGAGATCAAATTGACAGCACAACTAATAATTTTTTGTTGATAGTAAAACACTGTGTACAACTGCCACAATAGAATTATATCAATTAAACCTAGTAGGCTAGGAAACAAAAGAAAAACTGATGAAAAACAAATTCTCAAAACTACTAATTATGTTTGTGTCTACTTTCATATGAGCCACTAACCGCTACTGAGGAATATGACATCACAAATAAATTCAATGCTCAACATGGGCACCTCCAAAACAGGTGGGAATTCCATTTTTGATCCTCTAGTAAAAAGAGTATTTGGTAGATATTGGGCTACATTCATAACACGCTTGCTATCCAAACTAACCAACATTTCTGGTTACACTTAAATCCTTTATTTTGATGCTGCATTTATTGCATATATTGTTACTCTGACCTGAACAATATGATCTTGTTGGGGTTTTTTGTTGTTGTTGTTGTTGTTGTTGTTTTCTTTAATACATTTGAATGAATGTTTGGATTTATTGCACTTTGGTCATACTAATCACTGAATATTTTTGTAACCAAACATTATATTAAAGGTTTGAACCAAGACTGTAAGATAAAACATCAAGAGCTTGCAGTGAGGTCTTTTTTTAATTTAACCAGTACAGTATAATCAGCGGTTTCCAGCTTCTACATGAATCCTAGAGGAATCTTCTTTATTTAAAAAGTTGTTTGGGATGTTTTTAATCAACATATTCCGATTAACCTCACACCCAGTGTTGCTGGGATGGGCTATGGATCCACAACGATCCTGAGCTGAAAAAAAAAAGAAAACACACTTACTGAAGATGAATGAATGAATATTTTGATAAAAACCCATTTCACCTGGCTGTGGATCCCCTGGGCCTTCACATACATCAGATTTAAGTATGCTAGACATATTTTCTACTTTGTAAATGGGGAACATTTGATATGGGGAATAATCTCACATTTTACTGCATAACTGAAGAAAAAGCTGACAGAAACATCTTAGGAAAACATATGACTATAGGTCCATAATCATTATGACTTTTACTGTGTGTGCAGCCAGAACGATGCAGTGAATAACCTGTCCATATTCAAAGGTAAAAGGCGGTAATATAGTAGAGGGCATTACAGATCAGTCTCAATTTTGTGTACTTTGTTCGAGGTTATGGAAAATATTATTTATGAACAGATTGAGGAATACATAAAGGAATCAAAGCATAATTTATTGTATGAGCTTCAGGCTGGATGCAAAAGATCACACTCAATGGAAACTTTTTTGGTTGTGTTTAACTGATCTTATTAAAAAGGAGGTAGATATAAGGCAATTCTCCAATGTGAATTATTGGATCTAAACAAAGTCCAAGGATGCCACAGATCATAGCATATAGTTGTATAAATTAAAAGTGTTAAACTTTAGTAAGTTGGCCACTAAGTAGGTTAAATCTTGCTTCACTGGAAGATAAATGGGACATATGCCTGTGGAGTATTTTCTTGTTGTATTTTAATTAATTTACAGCAGCTTGCTCATGTGGTCTTTTCCTTTATGCTGATGATGCTGCATTGTTAGTATAGCAAAGAGAAAACTGAGGTAGAAAATAAATTAACTGATGAACTTCTCAAAGTTCAAACCATATCTGACAATAAACTGCCCCTGAAATTGGGGAGAATGAAGGGCATCATGTTTGGTTCTCGAAGCAGACTAAATAAACTGTTGGCTTTTACAGTGAGGGTAGGTCAGGTTCTAATTCCTTATAAATCAACAATATATGATTTAGAGTGTGTCTTAGATAATCGATTATCAGGGGATACAAAAGCTTAGAAAGCTTTAAATAAGATTGAACAAAAGAGGAACATTTCTAGCTAGGATAGCTGCATTACTACCACTTTAAAAACTTTGGCCGGGGCATTAATTCAATGTCATTTTGATTGTGCAGCAAATTTCTGGTACAGCAGGCATATTAATACATTAAGAACAGACTCCTAACAGCCCAAGACAAGCTGATTAGGGTTGTATTGAAAATGCTTCTCTGTACACATATGAAATTAGATGATTTTCAAAAATTCAACCTTCTTCCAGCAGAGAAAAGAACAATTATATTAAGTTGAGAATCACTCATAAAATTCTTAGTTATTTAGTCCCTAACAATCTACTTACTTTAACTTAGTAAGAGATCTATGCAACCAGAGGGAGTATAACAAATATTCAAACATTGAGATGTAATAGTTTAGTGGGTAAAAATGTGCTTAATATATAATTTTTTAATTTATTTTTATTTTTATTTTTATTCAGTGTTCTTCTCTGACTACTACACTGTGTAATCTGACATCCTTTATAGGACCACAGTGGAAATAAGCCTTCGGGCATTATTGTGTTTTTATTCTCAACAATTTGAAATGCTTGCAAGTTCTATATTAATGCAGTGTTATATACTGTTATATACTACTAATCTATGTATTGATCTATAGTAATTGTGTTACACTTCCTATTTCATTCCACCCTATCTTTTAAGCGTTTTAGACTTCTATATCCAAGGATACCTGTTTTACTGATTCACCTTCTGGGCACTTCAACCATGCTATGAAAATTCACTGCTCTCTACACTGCTTTGCATATATACACACAATATATATTAATATACACAACTCATTTCCTATAAAAAACAAAGGTTCAGAGTTAGTATTCCTGCATTTTCATATGCAAACAAGCAAATTCCAACCATATCCCCCATTCATATGAATCTATTCAAATTTCTAATAAGAATGAGAAAAGGTTGGTAGATTGGTAGATTTTATAACAATAGCGCGTTGACCTTTATTTTTAATCCCCGACTGTCTTCTCGGGTGATTTTTTTGGATCACTATAAACAATATTAATGGAATTAGAGACGCAAAAGCCCTTCCCGGTAGAGGCAGGAGTGTAAATAAGACACAGAGAGCCTGGTTTCGGGGATGGTGGTTGGGTGTGCACAGTCAAGCACCTAACCCTTGTGCACCTTGCCTTTTGCCACAGTGGCCTTTCTTTTTGGTTGTAAGAAATATATACTTACCCAAGGTTCTTATTAAGAGAAGCTGTTTCAATTAATTATTTTTGTCCTCCAATTAGCAATGCGGAGATGGTTTCTTGTGTTTAAAGTCATTTGGGCCAACTGTATGCATGTTGTCATGTTAGCTTCATAGTCTTACACTGTAGCAGTGGGGGTATACACTAGTCAAGCGTCCCCTGTGGACAGAGAAAAAAGGTGGGTTGAACTGGCATCTAATTGTGATTGGTCTGACTTGTGTGATATTTCTCATAGGCTTCTAATATGGCTGTTTTTTCCTTTCAGAAGAAAACATAGACTGAACTGAACAAAACACACACACACACACACGTGAACTTAAGCTTGAACTTGAATGTCAGACAAGTAG